TCATAAAAACATTCTACCGGGAAGGGTCCCAAATGGCCTCAGCCTGACGGCGGTTCTCGTCAGGCCGGCCTGATACGAACTGCCCTCTTTATATAACATATGTAAATTTGAGGTGCTTATCTCACACCTCACAAAAATTTGGGACATTTAAATTAGAGAAAATCGCACTTTTAGTCCCTTAAATAGTCACGGAATTGAAATGTCAGACCCGTATCTCTGAGATTGTAAATGTCACATTTCAATTGTCCAAATTGTTGTAAATGTGGTCCTTTAAGGGGTGAAATGTACTCTCGTCCACATTGTATATTTCACCCCTCAAAGGACCACATTTACAGCATTTTGGACAATTGAGGGACGACATTTGCAAACTAGGGAACACAGGTCTGACATTTCAATTCCGCGACTATTTGAGGAACTAAAAGTGCGATTTTCCCTTTACATTATTTTTGCCTTTTTAATAATATCAACTATTTGAACGTAAAACAAAGAGAAAACTATCAAATTGGCCCTGCAAATATATTGAAAAAGTTAATTAAGCCATCTAACTAAAGAAACCATCAATTAAACTATGCATGTCACCTCCACATAAGATAATCTCAAATAAATTTGCGAACTATATTTTCATCTTCAACGCCGATTTTGCCGGAAAAGAAACAATATATTTGCGTTGCCAGCGAACTATGCTGAAGATGAAACCAGCGTTGCCGGCGAACTATGCTGAAGATGAAGTCGTCCTCACCAGAGAGGAAGTTGTGTCGCCGTATCTGACAAGGAAGTAACGTCTTCGTCGCTGATGAGGAATATGTGATGTCGTCGCCGACGTGAATGCTGTGTGGTCGTCGCCGACGACAAAGCTGAGGAGTTCTGATGCCAAAGTTGCCCTCGCCGCCGGCCGGTTCTGCAACTCCCTTATCACCTGTGTTTCTTAATGAAAAAGAAAGAAAACAATGGAAGAGAATCGGGTGGGAGAAGAAGAAGAAGATGGGGAAAGTATGTCGGGTGGGGTAAAAAAGAAGAAGAAAGGGAAGAAAGGAGGAAAACAAGTCAAGAAAAAGGAGTTGACCTGGGAGCAGCGGGTCACAGCTGGAAGAGTTGGCGGAAGAATAAAAGAGAAAAGAAGGAAAGAAAGAGTAAATAGAAAATAGAAAACAAAAGTAAATGAAAAATCAAATAAAAATGATCCATGTAGGACCTATAATCGGAAGCTAACCTATTAAATTAGACAATTGAATGTTTTTGTAAACTTAGAGGGTTTAATTGAGTGTTTGTTTAGTTAAAGGACTTAATTGACTTTTTCGATATAGTTGGAGGACCAATTTGACACTTCTCCCTAAAACAAAAGTAATATGGAGTCATTTTTGACAAGAAATCCGATCATTTAAGACATCAAAAATCAATGACAACTCATGGAATAAATGATATTTGAGAATGCATTCACATATTAGATATTTTGATACTCCTTATAAGATTTTGATAAGTTAAATGGGTGACTTTTTAGTAAAAATTGCTCTATATCACTTTTAGTCTATTTTAAATAATTGGTATTATTAAAACTTTTATCTTATTTTTTTATTTATGGAAGATAGTTTGTATAATATAAAGACAGTTTCCTTGGATTTTTTACATTTTAGGATCTTTTATTTAATTTTGAGCACGGCCTTGTGTTTCTATTTATCATGAAACACACTCTTGTATAGTTGTATTAATATAGCTTGAGCATCGGTCACTCGTATTACACCATTTACTATAGCAACTACACAAGAACACACCAGTTACACACTTACACAAAAGCATAACATCAATTTTGCTAAACACTTCTGTACATGTAGGGGTGTTTAGATCTAATTCTTAAAACTGCTTCTGCTCCTTCAGGGAGCAGAAACAGAAGTTAGAGTGTTAGGGTGAAAATGCAGAAGTGATTCTGGTGCGCTAATTTACTCATAGAATCATCATAGAATCAGTTTTTTTTAAACCGAGGAAGACCAGCTTCTGAAAACTGATTCTGTTTCTGCTAATCAGTTCCAAACACCCCGTAATTACACAAAACACACCCTTGTTGCCTTGTTGGTACAAGAGTACCGTGTGATACCGGTAGGTTAGTGTACAAGCACTACAAACAAAATGACACATACCAACAGTACCAAAACTGTTGATAGATATATAAACTGTTAGAATAAACCTCATTTGGCTATACCATCACAAATTTATGCAAATGTTGGTATCCGTTCGGTAAGTATACACCAACACTAAAGTAATAAGTAAAAATATGATCTCTAGACAATATAATTGTATGCCTTGACCTCCAATAAAAGCGTAAAATATATAAAACAATAACAAAAGTAGTCCAAATCAAACAAACTTAATAAGCATAAGAAGCCTAAGCCATTAAACAAGAATAACAAACACCATAATAAATTGTTATAAGTAATAGTAATTTTAAATAATTAATAGTAATTGTTTTATTAAAATGTTATATAATAAATTGCTAATAATAATAAACTTTTTTTTATCCAAAACAGACGACTTTATATTACATCTTCGGATCAAATTCAACATTTTGATAGGCCAAAAGACTTACCTGCTCTGGCCCGTCAAGCTTATTTCGGAGATTTATTTGGAATTCCCTCACTTAGATTCACTTGATTGTTTTTTTTATTGGGTTAGGTTCGTTCCACCCAAGTTTGATTTATTTTTCCTTTTTCCGGGTCAGGTCCAGCCCCCCCGGATTTTCTTGTACTGTTTCTATTATTAATAAAACTCTGGTAAATGCCCCCGGCATTTACCCCACTGATTTTGGTGGTTGGCCTTTCCGTGGTAAAAAAAATAAAAATAAAATAAAAAATAAAATCGAAAACGCATACAAGACAATCTTCAGACAGATTTTACAGATCCAATCATGAACCCTAGGAGTAGACATAGAATCAGTCACCTCATACAAAGCAACTTGACTCGCTAAACCTGAAACGAGCAAATTTAAGCCTAAAACGAACAGATCTGAAACCCTCCCTATCAAAAGAACTCCAAAAACCCAAACATTCAAACCAAATTTACTCGGACCAAAACAAAAACAAGTACTACTAAAGAGAAAATAATATTGAAATAAAATCTTTCCACAAAACTCTTCCTGATATGGAGGTGGTTCCGAAGGAGGACGAGATCTTACGATATGAGTGAATACCAACTCCACTACCGCCGGAGCGGCCAACGAAGAAATCACGATCTAGCACCGATACAAACTCTCAGTTACAATCTGTTTATCTGCCAACATTATCTCCGTTGAAGTAGTTGCAATCCCAAACATTAGAACACTTGCAATCAGAATAATTTGCCGGTCCAGCCCCATATTGATAGGGGCGGCGGAAAATCTCAACCCCTACAAAGAGGGAAGAAGGCCGCTAGGTTTTTAGAGAGAAGCAAGAGCTCTCTAGGTTTGTCTTTGCGAAGTAATTTTTATCAATAGTACTTTTTTGTAAGAATAATAAATTGTTATATATAAACTGTTATATATCCAAATTTGATAAAAGTTGGATGTATAAAGTAAAAAATTAAGAACAATGTATGAACAATTTATGTTGACTAGAGAATAATGGAGAACTTTAAGGGAGACGGAGGTAGCATAAAATAATATAGATAATACTTAGAGCCCGTTTGGCAACACTATTTTCGGCTTATCAACCAACTTTTTCACCAAACACGTAACTTTTTCTTTCGCGCGCTGAATTGTGTAATAAGCAGAAAAAGTAAGGTTGAAGTTACTTTTCTGGCTGTATTGGTTGAAGTTACTATAGATGATCATTTTACCTATTTTTACATATACTTTTTTCTTTATTTTATTAATAAAATATATTTTAAAAATAATTTTTCCTTAATTCAGCAGAAACAACCAATCCAGCCACTTCAACCAAAATTTCATAAATTCCAGCAGAATCAGCCAAAACAGCCGATTTTCGTGCTACCAAACAGCCTCTTAATAGTATATTTTAAACAATTTGTTTCATAATTAACTGTTAATGGTAATTTTTAAACATAAAGTAAATGTTTTAATAAACTGTTATGTAATAAATTGTTACTCCCTCCGTCCCATAATTATCTTCATTCTTTCCTTTTTGGTCCGTCCCAAATTTATCTCCTCTTTCCTTTTTTAGCAAAGGATTTGTGGTTCACAACCATTCTTACACATTTCTCTCTCCTCTGCACAACTCTCAACCACACATTTCTCACTTTCTTAATCTCCGTGCCCAGTCAAAACCGAAGTTAATTCTGGGACGGAGGGAGTAATAATAAACAGACATATATAAATGTTGTATAATAAACTACGGAGTATCATACAATACATGGTTAGTTTTCATTTTTTTATTTAACTGTTAAAAGTAAAAAATTAAACAATCTGATTTTTTTATACAATCTGATTGTAGATACCATATTTATAATTATTTATAATTGATAAACTATCTGATTGAAATTATGGTTTAGGGCAGATTGTTATAAGGTTATATTTAAATATTTAAATTGATAAACTATCTAATTGCAGAAAATATTTAACTTATTATTTAAAATTGATAAACTATCTGAGTTGTCAATGGGTGATTGTGGGTCGCGCGGGGGGTGGTCGCTCAGTTGTCGGTAAGTAGGTGGTCATCGCCAGACGTACACCTCGCTAATGTGATTAGCCACTTAAATTAGTCTTAGTCATATAGGGTTGTTGAAAACAAGTACTCTGGCCAACTAAGACCCTAAGTAATCTGGGCCTAAAAAAGAACCTAAAATCATGCCAAAACCTGACGCATAAGGCGCAGGAGGTGGCCAAGGCGCATAAATAGCAATGCCATACCCAGGAACTGTGGCGATCACCGTTTACACCATCAACTACCCCTAGTATGAGTAACAACTTTTAAATCTAGATAATAAGGTTAGCGGGAATATATGGTGAAAGATATGTAGAAAATTTTCAACATGGGATACGAGAACCTCGAGTCTAATAGATTCGTCTTTTTAAGTAACTTTTGTGTTAATTTTAAGGCAAAGTAAATAAGTATACCAAAGAGGGGTGGGCAATTCAAAATGACCAAAGTATTATTGTCTGTATTTTCCCAAAATTCCGGTCACTAATGATATGATTTTGCACAAGAGGCATAACCATAATGGGAGGAAAACGGAGACGGAAGTAGAAAAATAGTGAAATGATATATCCCTTGATGACAACAAAACAATATATTTAAAAGAACGTGAAGAAAAAATTAGGACTTAGACCTCGAAGCCAAACCAGTTTCAACTTTCTTGATTTCAAAGATGAGCATCCTCCACATCTTCAAAACGAACATTTCAGCTTCCTCATCCAATATAGCTTGCAGTCTCTCCAGCATCTCAGTTGCCTTGACGTGCTCTTGAGTGCTCGAGACTATATAGTCTACCAAAGTGGGTTCCTCCTCTCCTAGAAACTCTTTTATCTTCTTTCCAATCCACGGTCTCATTCTTTCATGCAGTTCATTCTGTGATGTGTTAGAAACAAATATTAAATGATTAATGTTTATACGGTAAGGCACAATGCATAAGGTTAATTGAATACCTTCTAGTGTAAAAAACATTAATGAGAACATTTACAAGACAATTGAAACTTCACAGTTGTAATCATAAATGAGAACAATTTATCTCACCTTATCATAGGTTGCCCAATTTATCTCGTATGAGAACAATTCATGTTTAGTCTTCGGGATCATGTCGATCAATTGCTTTGCATCTAAAAGCTTCTGATGATTATCTGGGGTCCGCACTTTATCAGGCCTATGATCAACATTTTGCCTTCGGCTATCTTCATCGTGCCTTTCATGTTCCCCCCGATGGATATTATATCTTTCATTTGACCTTCTGCTTCTGTCCTTCTCCCCATCTGGCCTTCCCTCTTTGGCATTAGCATTGGAAACACGCTTTTCAGATGAGTGAAAAGAAGGTACATCATGGATAGGAGGATCCACTCGCTGGTCTTCGGTTGTTGAGTAATCAATTGGGACAAGTGGTCTCATTTTTTTGTCTTTTTGTGCATCCTCATCCTCGTCCTCGTTAAAAACTGAAGGGACAGCAGCTCTTTTTCCCGACCCTTGTAGGCCAAATCCTAACTTTTTAGCTGGGGCAGCGCTACTTTGCATCATATCTGATGCAGAAGCATTGTCAGCCCATACTGATTCTTCATCACCACCAATACCATTGTGTTGGAGTGATTGACCTGTCAATTACAGACAAAAAAGAATTAAAAAAAGAAAAGAAAAAGATCTTCATAACTAGGGGTGGGGGCCGTTTCCTATAATTTATTGGATTCGATTGGAAATTCAAAATCGTGCTCAGGTTCGAATGACACTGGGTCAAGCCTGACTAAAATTGTACAAAATTATGAAAAGGTGGATTGGGTATTGGATGTGCAAATAATATGTCAAACCCAACCCAGAACCCGAACATTTTAATACAATACACAGTTTGTAATTAATAAACTTCTCTGATTCAAAGATTCATACACAGAGAAATATATATTCAAAATTTATTGGCATAAAAACAACTCATACTTTTATCATTATCAACATTTATTCAAAATTTATTTGGAACAGAAAATTAAGTTTCAATTTTTGGGTTTGATAACCCAAACCAGACAGAGCCCAACCCAGTCAACCCAAACCCAAAATGCACTGGAACTTTGTAGACTCAGATTTCGGGTCATAGACATTTGTTCCCACACATTTCTTTGCTACCAACGTAGTGCCCAGATCAAACCCTAATTCATCCCATACCCACCCCAACCACATCTACACATTTCAAGCATAGAAAAAAACAAGAAAGGAGAGAAGTTACCATCACGCGACTTTAAATCCGAAGTAACCACAGCACTCACATCTCCAGGATGATCATTTTTCTCAGGCGAAATGGCCCTTTCATGTCCATTGGCTACCTGACCAGTTAGCATTCTTAAAGCCTCCTCTTGCTCTTTATTTTGCTGTTGTTCTTCATCCCTTCGTTTAGCCTCAGCAATTTCCTCTTCTTCTCTCAACCGGTCAGCCAAATCATCTTCTTTTTCTCTATGTCTTCTTTTCCTATCCTCATCACTACTTCTGTATTTCCTCCTTTTGTAACCATCCTCGCCATCATTCTCTTGTTCCAGTATTTCCAACTTGCGTTCATGTGCCCTTTCCTTTTCTCTTTCCCGCTCTCTCTTCCTCTGACGCTCTTTCTCCCTTTCTCTAGACTCCCATTCCTTTTCTCGTCCCTTATACCGTCGCTCATCATCCCAAATTTTGTACTCTCTCTCTTTTTCTCTCTTGGCCCGCTCCTGTTCACGCAATCTCTCATACCTTTCAAGCTCTCTTTCCTTTTCCCGCTTCATATCCTGGTCCCGGTCTCTACCACCCTTATCATGCCTTCTGCGATCAGGAGAGCATGTTTCATCTTTATCATGCTCACTTGAGGGCTTACTTTCACTTGTCAGGTCATCTTCATTTTTTCCTTCTGATGCATAATAAATTTCTTCAAGTAGTTATTAAATTTTATAGAAATTTAAAACGATGGCTACTTCAGATAAGACTTGAAATTTTGTTTAAAAATGCCTGTTTGGATGGTTAGATATGGAGGGAAAGGCTTTGAATGAGCTTTTATATCTTGATATATATTTGTGTTTTAATAAATAAATATAATTGAAAGATTAACATAATATGCGAACAGATATAAATTTAATAACCTTTTTTTCATTTTTTAGAAACATTCTAATAATAAGGATATTGACTTAACCCCCCAAGCCCATCCAAGAAAAATCCCCACCCAAACAGATCCTTGGGCAATGTTTGGGAATTGGGTTTTGGAGGGGTTATTATTATATTATATATCCAAATTAAGAAAGTTATATGGAATTATGGGGTATATGATTTATGAAACAGAGATAAATAAATGAATATTAAATTTAGGTAGAAATTTTACACTGCCCAAAAGCTCACCACTTTCTACAGCAGTTGCATCTGATTCCACATCTCTCGCCTTAGAGTGGTTTTCCACATTCAAACTTGCACCAGCGTCGGCTGATACCTGAGGAGGTGGAGGAGGTGGCGGTAATGGTTTGTTCTTTATCCTTTCACTTATCATATTTGTGATCTTTTCCAAGGCCTCCTGGTCAGCTTGGCTATCTTCATTGGTGACAAGGCCAAAGGTGTTTGGGTCTGGGTTTTCTTTATTTTCCTTCTCTTCATTGTTCTTTGAGTCTTCTGAACCATTTTTTGCAGCTTCTTTCTTTTCAGCATCTGATGCATTTTCTTCTACTTCCCTGTTACCAGCCCCTTCAGCATCTTGATCTTGGGGTTTAGTAGCACTCTCTTTTTTCTTTTGAACATAGTGTTCAAGATATCCTCTGGTTGCTTGGTTGACATTTAACTGAATGAGGGTAAATTGACCAAAAACATTTAATAATCTCGCTTCAGGACAGTAGAGAAGCTGCTAAGGGATTGGGAAAAATAATATTGCACATAATAAATTTACCACAACCCACTAGGTTCATCCGCCACATGGAACACTATCCTTGAGACAACACATTGTAAATATTTTTTTTAGATGATTAACCAGATTTTGCCAATACAATTTCAATCATGAATCCAACATATTCAGCCACTTCAACAATTTTAGGCCTTACCAAAAGGACTCTTGATCATATAGGCATATAGCATTCATATCCTATCACAAACTGGTTATACTAATGGATTTCTGAATCAATAGCTTGGCTTCCTAAGAACTGATAATAGGTGCTCCTTTAGGCCATTGGATAACATTCATAAGAACTCTAAAGTCTAGACTCGAAGCTTCTAAAACGCAACACATTTTTCTTTTATCTAGCCTGGAACAGTAAAACTCTTTCTACATCTATTTGCACAGCTGTTTTAGTTAAGAAATAATGACAAACTTGTAAATATAGTAGTAACTTAGTCATAGTAACTTATGTTCAATTTTTTCACTTAGGTGACATGACACTATACTCAAAGTAACTTTAGTCATCATTTTGTAAGAAAGTTTTATTTCAGTAATATTTTTGAGAAAACATCTTTAGTTAATTCTCTCTGAAAGAAGCTCCAAAAATAAGTTACACTAAACAAGCTTACAAGCACTAAATAGAAATGCATATAAAAGCAACAAATTCAAATGTTTCCATGATGTTGAGAGTCATATGCCAGTTATATAAGATTGAGACCAACATAACCTCTAGACAAATTTTACTCTCAATAAATAGACAGATCAATACGGATCAAGTCAACTGATCAACACATACGACCCTGGTGTCTTACCATCAACTCTTGCCCATCAATTTTCAATTTGCTAAGCAGCCGAAGTGCCCGAAGAACTCCCTCAGCTGACTCAAATTCGCAAAAACCAAAACCTTTTAACATTCCATTTGTCGGATCTTGTGCACGTTTCCAACTCTTCACAGGCCCACACAGCTTCAAAAAAAGAAGTGGTGAGCATACATGTAAGTATATATATTAGAAAAAATAAAAACCAAAAAGATAACCTAATATGTATACAAAAAGAAAAGAGCCTCACCTGCAATAGAGAAAGCATGAAATCATTTTCCACGGCTGAGGATATCTTTCCAACATAAACTGTTGTTTGAGGTTTATCTGTTTGTGCAATAATTGGTGAAGGGGCTGGCCTAATAACAGGAGCTACGATTGGACCACGAATGACAGGGCGCATCAATGGAGGAATAACACCTACACCTACTGGTGGGCGTGGAGGGTATATTGGGCGAACAAGTGGACCATATGGTGAGGGGTAACGAAGAACTGCAAAAAACAAACAAAGAATTCTATGCAAATTTATCAGTGCGAGCTCTCATATTTACCAAAGCTTGGATAGACAAGTTATGCAATGGGCATAAAAATTTCACAATAAACAAATATATGGTTACCAAACATTACAAGCAATAAGTGATGGCACCCATAGGCATGACAACACTCATCAGCTGAACAACATATAACCTGAAGAAACATCAAGACAATAATTGTCGAATTTACAAAACTTGATGAATATGCTATAGGTGGACTTACCTTGTCATGCTTATGGCTTATACTTTGTTCACAATAATTGAATCTCAAATACTATCCAAAATCCCATGCATGCATAGTAAGGATTTGATAATAGTAAGATGAGATGCTGACTTTCCATGTCTCACTCTCAATTCCACTGATGACGCAGTATTACTATGTTTTTTGGTGTACTATGGAAAATATCAGTCATTAACTACGAACCTTGTGTATAGCATAAGGAATGCAAGAAATACAATTAGGTACGCAAAAACTGAAAAAGGATTGTGATACCTTGGGGGTATAACCGTATAAAATTGCAATGTGCAGTCAGTTGTTAACAGTGGTCCTCTGTCGGCATATCAAGAATCAACATCCCACCAAAGGGGGGAAGAGAATCATTACTACTACAATATTTTAAGCCTACTAATGATCACTGCACAACCAGACATTACATATGGTGGGGAATTATATTTGTACAGTGGGGTAATGAGTTATCATGCTTAATTAATTCCTATGAAGTTTCACGCAACTTAAAAGTAAGCTAAGCAGTTGTTTGCATACCAAAACTTTAAGTAGTTGGGGTAGTCTCTAAAGAACTGCAATATGAAGCCACCCGGTTCCTATCACCAAATCAATCCAAACACTGTACGAGAAAACATCCTGTCATTGAATCCCCTAATCCAAGTTCCAACCAACACAAATGTGCCCCACAACTCCTCATCAACCGAACTACTTTTCTTACTCATACCAAAAGAAATAAGTTCTTGAATTATACAAGACCTTAAAATGGTAAAGGTTGCATTCTTGTAGCCTAAAGTAATGATCTTTGACCCATATTGATAAAAAGAATCTCATTTTTCATGTCATCAATTAGTAATAGCACATGAACAAATAAACGCATCCAAATATTCAATGATTTTTCTATAGTAGACAAATAGGCAGTCAAAAGCGCAAAGACCCACCTGGAATGGGCGTTCCAGCTGGGGTAAGAGACTGAGGCATGGATGGATAGCCATTTGGTAAGTGAGCATATGATCTCACTGGCTGCCCTGGCAGAGCAAAAGGAGACTGAACATATCCCATCTGATGTCCACCAGCACCACCAGCCGGCGGAGCCACCGCAGGAGCTGCCATCACTACCGGCGACACGGAGCTGACTCCGGGGGGAGGAACCCCAGGTGTCTGATAGTTATGAGCTTGCTGCAAAGCAGGGTTAGGAATGGGGGAGAATTGAGGAGTAGTACAAGGTATTGGAGCAGGCGGCGTCGCCGGTCGGAAAGATGGGGCGGGGTAAGGCTGGATCGATGGAGGATGGATCAAAGATGGCGGCGGCGGGGTACTAGGGTTAGCGCTTGGTGTTTGAATGGATGGTGAAGATGTGAACTGCTGCTGTACAAGCGTCTGTTCGGTAGACGGACCAGGATGAGGCTCCGAGCGAGTTGAATCTTTTTCTCGTTGATGATTCGAATCTGTGGGTTCTTCAGGAGCGGTTACGTCCGCCATTGTTAAAGCGCTCGTTTCGAGCTTTGCAGCAGTAGATTTATAGAATAATAAAGCCCTCAATGCGACAACCCGGCTAGGAGGGTGGGTAGCAGGTTATATATTGGTTGAAATAATTAGATATTGGGAAAAGAGGCAAATAAGCCCTTGAACTAATAAAAAAAAGTGCAAATAAGCCCTTTTGTAGGAGGTTCTGTCCGATCATCGTCATTTGGGGAGGTTCTCGGTGGAATTTTTTGATGAATTTTTTGAGCATCTTCTTTATTAAGTGTAGTTTAGCCATACCGAATTTGAGCTAAAAATTCAACCGGGAAGGCACTCAAATGATTTTCGGAAATATACTGCGTTGTTTAACTGCGCAGTTATCTTCAAAAATTCATTTGACTGTCTTCCCGGTTGAATTTTTAGCTGAAATTCAGTAGGACTAAACTTGACTTAATGAATAAGATGTTCAAAACATTTCGTCAAAAAATTCCACCGTGAACCTCCCCAAATGACGATGACCGGACGGAACGTCCTACAAAAAGGCTTATTTGCACTTTTTTTATTAGTTCGAGGGCTTATTTGCCCCTTTTCCCTTAGATATTTTAACCACACAAAATTGTTTAAGAAAGTGTCAAGCACCTTATGGTCGGCATTACTGTGACATTCCAAGGAGGAGGTCAAAAGGTTCGAATTTCATCCCAGTTCAAGTATGTTGGCATCAACATTGTGGAGATATTATATAGGTTAGAAAGAATTGTCCAAAAAAAAGATTATTTAAAAAAGTATTACTAGGGAATAATGATTAGAGTAGTAATAAAATCATAGTAATTTATTTTCAATTTTTTAAAATTAAGTTACTATGACACTACACTGTAGTAACTACATGTCACATTTGTGTAAATAAGTGTTATTTTATTAATATATTTGGGAAAAAATCCGTATTGGTTTCACTTTCCTTTTTATACATTTTTTATTGGTTTAATTCAATTCGGTTTTATTCGATTTGGAAGTATAGTTTTTTTTATGTATAGTTTTATAAAAAGTATATAGAGATATTATTATACTACATAGTTCGATTTATTGGGTTTAATTCGCTTAATATGGTTTGTCAATATTATGATTTGGATCCAATATTACCAAACTCAAATCAAATTGCATACCTTTGGTTTTGTTTCCATTTAGAGATATTACCCGAAATAGGACTAGAAAAGTTTGAAAATTCCAAAATAGGACTGCCATGTTTTTATTCCCAAAATAGGACTAATTACTGCCATGTTTTGGCAGTACCAGACTTCAAACATGGCACTATTTTCCAAACATGGCAGTAATTACTCCTATTTTGGGAATAAAAAACTTGTCAGTCCTATTTTGGAATTTTCAGACTGTTTTAGTCCTATTTCGGGAACTTTCCCTTCAATTTAATACCATTCAATTCGATTAACTAGAACTGAATTGATGTGTCCGCTCCTAAAATATAGCTACAACTTTGAAGGATGAGTATTTTGATATACTCCCTCCGTTCCGCTAAGATTGTCACATACACTATTCACTTGGTCAACACAAATCACCTCTTAATCTCTTACTTTATATATCAAATTTTATCAAATTTGATTATGGTTTTTGTGACTTTGTAAAGCTTTTAATGCAGTTTCTGAATATGTGATTTTGTTTCTAAAAATAATTTGAGCGCGGACAGGGATCTGTTTGCTTTATCGTCGGTCAAACATCGTAAACCGAATTGTCCCAAACATAGCGGGACGAAGGGAGTATCTTTTATTATCATAAAAGTGTGGCCTTTTATATTAATATCGAAATAGCATACACGAAAAACCTCCAGACAGTTATTACACATTCAATCGTAAGCCCTAATAATAAACTTGGAGTCAGTCATCCCATTCAAGGCAACCTGACTCGTTAGACTCAAAACGGACAATTTGAAGCCTGAAACGATCGGAACTGAAAAACTGTTTAACAAAAGTATTCCAAATATTCAAACCAAAACTACTCGAACTAAAGTAAACACAAGTACTACCAAAGCAAAGATAATACTGAAATAAAGTTTTTCCACAAAACTTTTCTTGGCACAAGGGTGGTTCTGGAGGAGGGGAAGCTACTGCAATATGGATAAAAACTAAATTCTTCTTCTTTCTTCATTTCAGATAGACATAGAAACAAGTGTAGTCAAGAACAACCTTTATGCCTCTACCATTTTATACGTTGCCCAACAAAAAATAGACCAAAATCCTAACCAGTCGGAATCGACACGACACCAAAGCAACTCCCCACATCGGAGGAGATAAAAAACCACGAAGTGTTAGTGCTTGGGAAAAACCACCATAGAATAGAAGAAATTCAAGAATTAAAAAAGAACACTTAATCATATCTGTACCGAAAATTCCCGAGAGCGGATGTCACTATTCTCTGACAAAGGAGCATTTGGACGGAATCAGACTTCTCCTGAATCCTTTAGCGATCCATTCAGAGGCAGTGTCGACGAGACAGTGATAGTAATCGGCAATAGCTAGTCGGGAAGGTCACATGTGGTAGAGCAGGAGATGGCGGCAGCCTACACACCCTGGAGAGAGCAGCTAAAACATGTGGAGTTAGTATTTTAGTATATCTAATTGAATGAGAACCAACTGTCTTTTTATATATACTTTTAAGCAAGAGGGCTTTCCTAATATAAAAGGCACGAGGCTTATGTGAAGATTGCTAAGGATAAGGGGAGCCAAATTCTAGTCCCCACGGGCCCACTCAATTCAAAGCTCAATGACTTTTTGACATTATTTTCTAATTTTGTTGGATTATCTAATCTAGAGCAGGAGGAACACAGACATTGGGAGCATGATACCTCAACTAATACTGAGGATATAACCATCTCCAAACTCATATTTAACTATGAAGTGCAGCGAGCCTATAACGGGAAGCAAAAACTCCTCTCCCTTGAGAAACAACCACAAATTCCACTTCTTCAGGCTTACTCTGACGCTTCAGACAGCTTTGAGCATTCCGATGAATCTTTCTTCTCAGACGATTTTCTAGGTCATGCGACTGAAAGTGATCGTCGCCCTCCTTTATCAAACCAGGAAGAAATCAGGAACTCCAAATTCAACAGAACGATTTGCCGCAAAGCAAAGCTTGTCACCTCCGAAAATTGCCTACCGACGGACAACCTGAACACACAACTAAAACTTTACAGGAAATCTCAACAAAACAAAAGGCGACACAGCATGAGGACTAGATCACAATCAAGAGATTTCCCTTGGGTCTAGTTTTTGTTTTTTATTATGTTTTCTTTTTTCTCTGTATTTCTGTATTTTCCTTTTATTTGTATTCTTGTCCTGTACTTTTTATTTTTATAAATAAAATTGTTCCTTTCAAAAAAAAAAATATATAAAAGGCACGAGGCTTGTCAAGGGATGAATATGTCAAATCTTATATTTTAGATTTTTATTAATGATGACTATTTTATTATTATATATGAAGAGAAAAAGTAAATGCTCAAATATGTAGTACAAGATTGACACTTAATTTTACTTTTTTCAATGAAATATAAAATTATCAAAAGTAATATAGGTAGCATATTTTTCTTTTGAAAGAAGAGAACTTATATTAGAATCGCAATAACCAACAACCCAATCACAACGATGATAAAAAACAACCCAATCACAACAGCATTCCAACCCCCCCTCTAAACATCATATAGCAACATTCCCCCTCACTCCCTGATCGGACATAGAGTAGTCCATCCAAAATTGAGCGAGACTAATTACTAAACATGCGAGAGCTTCAAGCTACTATCGGCCAAAGCAGCTTGATTGCTACCACACAAATTACTAGCTAACAACCTACGCCAAAAGACAAACCTACTATGTGGGGTGTTTTCTTGTATCGGCTCGGGCCTAGGCCCCACATTTTAATGCCTTTTAGAACTGGTATGAGGTTTTAAATAAAAATACTATTATACATCAGCATGTTAGAGAGTCAATTTCAGCCTAGAACATATTGTTCTAAACTCATATGTGTTAGTTCAATGTACCGATCGATTGATTATTAAATGTCAAACCCAAATTCAAAATCACAAAGCCCCAAGATGGACATTTAATTTGAATGGTTGAAGTGCAACCCTGGACTAAAAATGCGTCGTCTAATTCTTAGTTCGGTTTGAAATTGTTTTTGTATGTAGTGTCATTAAAATATGATTTACAAAAACGATTCCCATACAAATCTTCGAGCTTGAATAATTAGATAAGTATATTGTATACTACAATATGTTTACAGAAAAATCTTAAACATGGGATTATTTCTTGTTATGCCTTTCGTCAACTTGTTGGAAATCAAAGGAATAGTGGATTTTAAAGGTTTTGAATAAATTTAAGATATTGTCAATACCATTTAGTATATTACTAGCAAGGCACGCGCTATGCGCGAGGCTATGTGCCCAATCCAAGTAATGTGATTGTTAAGTATTGATAGCAGAAGTTTGAGTTTAAGAAAGAAAATTTAGATTTTTTAAAAAAAATTGGTCAAGGCACATATCACAAATGTATATCAATCACCCTAGTCTCATTGCTAGTGTTGTCCGTGAAGAACTCTAGCATTGGCAGCTTTGCTAATATTTTTGTAGCTTCTAAGGTATATATAACATCACGCTTTGAGCAGGTATAATGTAATTAATAATAGTAATTTGCAGAAGTACCAAAGAAGACAACATTAAATCTTAAAGCATCTTTCCTATATCATATATGTGTCATATGCGTGAAATAGTTCCCAGTTGAGCAGAAGAATTTGTTAACACAACATTGAATACGTAGTATTTAAAACATCACCTGCACATATGTTCACAACATGCTTTGCAGGATTATAATTTGGCAAGACAATAAACCAAAAGTGTGGTGCTCATGAAATAACAATCCACTAAGTCACAAATCAAGGAAATACATAACATGAAAGCATATAACCTGAGTTTCAGGGATGTAAATCAAGTAGGGTGTTTTTTAGTTAAAAAAAACATTCACTCAATGCATCTAATATATGAGGAAATGGTTATTATTGGATATCAAGAAGGTTCAATTGATCATGAATCAACCT